GTCTTTATTTTACAGTTAAAGTATATGTTTATTAAATAAAGTCTAATGTTACAACTAATCATGGATCCCTTTAAGACTTTTTAAGGATCTGCAGGAACCCTGTTTAAATTAAATTAAATCCCTGTAATTCTGGATTTTCAGTTTAGAAAAAGATCAAGCAGATAATCTAAAAACAAATATTTTCCTAAGTTATCCAGACTTGGAAAAATAAAAAAATAAAAATAATAATCCAGATTGTTTAGGACATATTTTGCAGGAACATGATCCTAGCACCTTTATAACATCTGGGTTAGCTTCGGGACCTTTTGTCTTCCTGCTGAGAGTTACACCTGGCCAGGTGAAACCGAGTGGCTAAACGCTGAACCTGAACGCCTCGCCTCTCGCGCACACCTGGCTGCTATAGCTACATATACGTTAGGAAGCTAATGAGCTAACGACTTAGCTTTTATGTTTTAATGGATGCTAGCAGGCGCAGGGGGCTAACGCGGCTAGCCTAAATGGGTCTGCCACAAGTTGGGGGAGCTCGCTGGGATGAAAAGAAACCCAAGCGAGTTTCCGAGTCGGAACCAGAACAAACAGAACCCCCCCGCCAGTAGAGAAACGCCAGACATTCATTGTGTCCTGGATGTTAGCCCCCCGCAGCTGCAGCGGCTAGCTCGCCCCGCTAGCCGTAATGTCACCGCATCGTTGTTGTAAATACATTTCTACACGTGTGGACAGCCGCTAAAACTCCTTCCGAGGGACGTCGGAGAGGAGAGGGAAAAAAAGAGCCCTCTTCCCCGGCAACACGGCTCACCTGCTCCGGATCCCGGTGGCACATTCTCACCGCTGAGACATCACCCCGGCGAGCCCGGAAAAAAAAAGACCCGCTGGAGCTTTTTTTATTTCCAAGGACACAAAAACGCCATGACAGTTTTAGAAAAATGCATAAAAAATTAGCACGCAGAGGAGGGAGGGAGGAGGAGGAGGAGGAGAGGGATGGGGAGCAGAAGAAGAGGAGGAGGAAGAGGAGGAGTGGAAAATCTATTTAATCCACATAAAGCTAGCAGCAGCAGCCTGGGACTTCATTAGTCCGGATCCTGGAGTCCAGACCGAACCGTGTCCAGAAACCCACAACTTAAAGGACACTTCTAACCTAAAATGGCCTCTGCAGCCAAAAACACAAACAGCTTCTTTTTTTTTTTTTTAATTTGCTATGAAGTTTAGCGGCTGCAGCCAGCCTAACCTCAGCGTTTGGACCTTTCCATTGGCTGCAGCTGGTTCCCCGCATGTTTCCATTGGTTCTGCAGCTGTCAAGCAAAGCGAACCGGGCCAGGCTCTGCTGGGTTTGTCTGAGAGCCGTGGCGGCAGCAGAACCCCCTCCTCCCCGGGGCTATTTCTTTTTTTAAATATTTTTTTAACCCACCCTTCTCCCTGCTGGTCCTGGTTCTGTTTCTTACCGCAGATCCGCACGGTGAGCCTTCTGGTACCGGAGGAGGCTTCCCACGGAACACAGCGTCCGGTTCTGGCTGCTGTCATTGAAGGAGAGGAAGGGGAGAAGAAAAAAAAACAGAGAGAAAGGGGGGAGCGTTCAGTTTTCAACCCCCCCTCCGATGCAACAAAACGAAGGGTTTACATTTCTGCACCGCTGCCTGCATCCACATCCACCAATCATGTCCGGGTCAGAACTGGACCGAGCCAACACCTGGGCTAGTTTTAACTCAGCAGAGTTGGGTTATCTGTTCAACCTTTTGTAGTGCATTACATTTTTCATCCCAAAATTGGGTTAAAATGGATAATTTCTTGAATTTAAGCTATTAACGTGTTGGAGCTAGCTAGCTTTTGCTAACTTCCTTTAGCCTCAGCTTGGCTAGTTTTAACTCAGTGAGATTTAGTTATTTGTTCAATCTATTGTATATTACTTTTTTATCCCCAAATTGTGTTAAAATAGCTAATTTGTTCAATTTGAGCTATTGACAACTTGTGTTGGAGCTAGCTAGCTTTTGCTAACTGCGTTCAACCTCAGCTAGATAGAATGATAGCCAAAGCCTTGATTAGTTTTAACTCAGTGGCGTTTAGGTATTTGTTCAAGCTATTGTTGTACATAACATATTTCATTCCAAGATTGGGTTAAAATTACTAATTTGTTGAATTTGAGCTATCAACGTGTTGGAGCTAGCTAGCTTTTGCTAACTGCATTTAGCAACTAGGTTAAATTTGGACCTAGCCATCACCTTGGCTCATTTTAAATCATATAAACTGGGTTATTTGTTCAGTCTATTGTAGATTATTATTTTTTATACCAAAAAAATTGGGTTAAAATTACTAATTTGTTGAATTTGAGCTATTAACAACTTGAGTTGGTGCTTGCTAGCTTTTGCTAACTGCGTTTAGCATTGGCTAGTTAGCATCAACTAGGTTAAATTTTAACTGAGTCAACACTAGTTTTAGTTAATTTATATAAAATAAATAATTTTTTTAGCTATCATAGTGACTCTCTTCACCTAAAAATAGTTTAATAGGTAAAATAAAAACTTGAGTTGGTGCTATCTAGCTTTTACAACATTCTGTGTCAGCTAGCTAGAAACACTCAACGCAAATGAACTATTTAGTGCAAACTAAAGATATTAACTAAGTAAAACATATTTTTAGGAGTTTTTATCATCTTACCTTTACTGCCATGTCATGAGCCTGTGACCTCACCTGTCCAGAGTGTACCCCGCCCCTCCTGGGCACCTGTGACCCTGGCAGGAAGAAGCTGGTAAAGATGGGTGGAGCTTATCTTTACTCACTACTGGAAATTCCAACTTCATAAATTAAAATATGAAACATTCAGAACTGGGGGCAATTTTCTCTGTAACGTAAATACTAGTAACCACACAACACAAAATATTAAAACCTGAGTGAACTCCATGTTCTGAGGACTTATTGAGGTGTAAAACCTGAACCGCTGTGTTTGTGTGCATTTTGTGAAAACCTTTCAGGATGAGGGAAAACTGCCATCTAATGAAAGTTGACTCATCGTGCTGCATGTTAAAGACACAGGAACTGTGGTGCAGTCACAGTGCAGCAAATGATTCTGGCAGACGAGCATCCGTGCATGCAGAATTAGCAGAGAGGCCAATGGTGGCGTTCACCTGACTCCATCTTTCTGGAGTTTTCTGCGTGACGGCTCCTCCGAAGGTGGAGGGAACGACGCAGCGCTGCTTCATGCAGGTGAAAACAAACCTCCCTCAGTTTGTAGTGAATGTGGATTTGAACCATTCTGACAGTAATTTATTTATAAATCATTCTTTTCATTATTTGCAGACTTGCGTTTGAATAAAAATGTAAATGAAAATTATTCTGGTGTTTAATGTACGTATTAACAATAAAATGATGTAAATCACCATGCTGTATTAAAATTATATTTTCAAACCTGTTGCGAATAAAGTTAATTTTTCTAAAGTTCTAAAATTATTCTGCATTCGGAACAAAGTTTTAAGATTTTCACACATTTAGGATTTTAAAATTAATACTTCAGGCAAAACAAATGACTTTAATCTAAACATCAAGATATTTTATAATTAGAGTCCGAACAGGAAGCTAGAAGTTGAAGCCCCAAAGGATGAGCGCCCTCTAGTGGCTGGCTCTAGGGCTGTTTTTAAGCCCCGCCTCCTCCATATGAAACCAATGCTACATTTTCTTTATGGATCATTGTGTGAATGCCTCCAGCATTCACACTATTGTTTTCATGTTTCTCTTTATCAGTGTGCATTGCTAATGCAATGCACAATTGTGATTCGTTTCCCATCCAAGTCATCTCCACTTTGGCATGCTTCTCCTCCTGCATACTTTGTCCTAGAGCTGCCATTTAATTTAAATCTGTAAATCTCCTGTGCCAATGGATGGCTTTGCCTTTTGGTGCCTGTACAACTTATACTTTTTGAAATATTAAATGTTTAAAATCATATAATGCCAGTCAATGGAGCCTTGTATTGGTCCAATACTGCCCCTTGCTGTATATACTYAGTACTGAACCATAGTTTAATAATATTTAAACTCAGTAGTTCAGTGATTACAATACTAATATGAATGTATTTTGATGTTTTACTAAAATATTATCCTAATATTACTCTATTGTTGTAATATTATGCAGTTCTGTGTCAACGATTGCACTGGCAATGTGGCCTCTTTCTGCATACATACAAACCAACCCTTGGCAGTCATCTGCCACAGTTCCACTGGTCTCATGGTTAACTCTATGGGCTTTCATGAGGGAGATCAGGGTTCACAAACCCAGCTGCAGCAACTTTAACAAAAAATCTCTACAAACTTCATATTGTCACACAATTACCATAATTACAAACACCTGCTGACGTGACAGGCGCAAGCTGGTTTAGAAAACACATCTGAACTTGTTCACAGTTCATTCTGCAAGTCCACTTCTGCAGGCAAAGCCATGCTGCAATGACATGCTACATGGCAATGCACACTTGTTTTTACATCGTAAAAACCCATGTCTAGTTATTCCTCTAGTTTCTTCCGTACGTTTTTTGGACCCTTCTCCTTCCACAATTAAACCATTCATATATCAAAATGTTCAGCTCCTTCAGGACATTCCAGCTATGAGTTTTGGTTTCTTAATTTTTTATAGTTTTTTAGCAATGTCAATTTTTAGAATTTTGATGATGATGATGTCATCAGCGACATCATCTGTTACATCAGTGACATCATCAGTGACATTAACAATTTGTTTCTTAGCTGTTCTTCAGCTAAAGTTATCAGCAAGAGGCATTCACACTAGCATTTTCGCCAGAAATGCAAATTCTTTAGTTTTTGTTAATTTCGTTCTTACTTTGCTTTTTTTTTTTTGTGAAATGTTTAGTTTTCATTTCTTATTTTAGGTGTAAAGAAGCATAACGTCATGCTGTGATTGACAGCCCATTAGCGAGTTAAGAGGGAGTGTAGGCGGGGCTTTTGTATCGAGGTTTTGGACATTTTGGTTCGAATCTGAACAATGGGAGAAGGCGGAGACACGTCCCTTTATAAATGTCTGTTTCCAGTCTTGTCAGCTTTTGACCTTCAAAATAAAAGCTTCAAAGACTTGACATCTAATACTGATTTTAACAAAGTGCCTCATTAGCTTTTATTTTACATTTACTGATTTTTATAGTTAGGGGCTAAATAAATCTTGGCTCTTATTTTGATTTCTGTAGATCTTCCTAATTAAAATAAATAATTAGAGAGATGATCGTCTCAAAGGTTAATATTGATGGTTCTGAAACAAAAGACAGGACGCTGGCCCGTTTCTTCCTGGTTTTTCTGGTGGTCGACGTCAGATGTTTGCAGGTTTGGAGGAGGGGTTGTGGTGGGATTGTTGATTTGAGCTCAGCCTTCTGAGCTGCGGTGTTTCGATTCAAACTGTGGGAAGTGTTTGGATTGCAACACGAGGAGAAGCAGGATCTGTCCGTGGAAGGGTTAAATTACTCTGCATGTTCTCCCTGCAGATCCTGTCTGCTTCCTCCCTGCTTCTCCTCTTCATCCCTCCCTCCTTCCTTCCTCCAGTCGTTTGGCCTCGAGCCCAGAGCGAGCTGGAAGAAGGAACAGATTTTCTCTTTCCCCCTCCTCCAGATCTTCAGGAGTTTTTGTTTTGCATTTCCTCAAACGGAGCAAGAACTCCTCCATGAGAGGAAACCAGCAACAAAATGCAACTCTTTCTGCGAGTTTGTGTTTTCTGTCGGCGGTTTGTGAACTCCATGACCTCGATCTCTCCTCTGAACGGCTGAGAGTCACAAGTTTTCATTTCACCACAAACATTTACTGATTGACTTTCCGTCTTTAGTTTCTTTGATTTCAAATGAACAGTTTCCTAAATGAAGGAAGAATAAGAGCAGGACATATTTGAAAAAAGACAAAAAAACTCAAAAAATAAAACTGAACCTGGACAAAAACTAAACCAGTCTGAAGAAAGTTTGATGTTTTTTAAGGTTTTATTTTGCTAAATTTTGTTTTTAGTCATTGTTCTGTTGAGTTTAGCTCCTGTTGCGCTCATTTTAGCTTTAAGCTACAGTTTTAGCTACTCTGTGTGATGCTCTGATATTTTTGTAATTAGCCACAGCTGGCTAATTTAGTTTAACTTCTTTAATTTTTATTTTTAGCTACTGTTCTTCTAGTTTTGTCATTTAGCTGTACTTTAACCATTTAAGATTTTGCTACGTAAAACTTAGCATTTAGCTTTTGCTAATTCAAGCTTTATGTTTTGTTTAGCTAATTTTGGTTTTTAGATTTCACTAAATTTAGTTTTTTGGCGTTGTTTTCTTATTGTGTCTTCTTGGTTTTGCTCAGTTTTGTTTTGGCCACTGTTCAGTTGGTTTTAGCTCATGTGCTCATTTTAGTTAAGTTTTAGCTATTGTTCTGATGTTTTTAATTAGCAACTGCATTGTAATTTTAGC